ACAGCTGCATGGTAAATGATGAAACAATGATTTATGCGTTTTTGCACTCTAAAATAGTTTGTTGTACCAGCCCCCCAAGGTGTAAAAATAATTATAAGAGAGAGAGAGGATCTGTGGCCTGGAGCCCCTCATTTAACCTTGGGATAGGGGAATTGTATTTGTTTTTCCTGATAGAATTTGTTTCCCCACTAGTCAATTTTTATGAATTTTCCTTCTGCAGCACATTACAGATGACAGCCTTTTTTCAGGGCAACCATAAATGATATTCCTCTATCTTCCCCAGAGAAAAAATAAATTTTTACTGCTCCTAATATGCTTTGTGGATGTTCTAACATGTATCTTCTATCAAGATCCAACCAGTGAGAGTCCCAAAACACAAATCAAATCCAGCTCATCAAATAAAATAAAATTTTACTACACCAATAGCTGCAATTAATTATTTTTAAGTTGGAAAAAGCTCTCATCTCATCGCTTCGTTTGCTTTCTGTCTTTGGGGCACCGCACCGGTGGTAATGTGTTGGGCTCTGTGTACTTTGCCATCCGACCCCCTCAAACAAGGAAAATGTTCGGAATGTATACTCGTTGTGCTAGTATATAAAGAGCAGAATATCTCCCTTGTGGCCCACCCATACCTCTATTCAGAATTCTGATGTATAGGTGATATCAGAATTCAGAAAAAAAAAAAAAGGAGAAAAAAATCCACGGAAAACGGGTCCAGCTGTTTTGATGGGGTCCATAGACGCATGATACAGAATGTCACGTGTCCAGTAATTGTGTTGCATGGCCCATGATTCAGGTCTGGGACGATAGACACGAGACTTCCCCTAATTAAAAAAACACAAAGCCAAAAAGGGAAATTCTACTTGCTACTACTAAGTCCTAACCCTTGTGTGCTGCAGGAGGGCAAACCCGCAAAACAAAGGTCCGTCCTTCGGCGACCGGTCACTTCTTCCAACCCTGTACTCTTTCATCGAGAGAGAGAGAGAGAGAGAGAGAGAGAGAGATGCCTCAAGCCGAGTCTTTTGGCCTCTCTTTCTTTATCTTCTTCTCTGTTCTATAATGAAACCAAGATCTGAAAAACTATTCTTTGGTGGAGAAAAATGGCTTTGAATCATCAAAACTCTACATTCGTTGTCGATGCTCTTTATTGTTCAGAAGAAAATTGGGAGGAAGAAGTCAGAGAAGACCATTTTCTAGAGGTAGAAGAAGAAAGTTGTTACAGTAACGGGATTAATAAAACATACCCTTTTCCAATCTTGTTAGAACAAGACTTATTCTGGGAAGATGATGAACTTTCCTCTTTACTTTCAAAGGAAGAGCAAAATCAACTGTACGATGGCCTTCAAACCAATGGGAATCTAGCTGCGGCTCGCCGTGAAGCTGTGGAATGGATGTTAAAAATCAATGCTCACTATTCCTTCTCTGCTCTAACTGCTGTTCTGGCTGTCAACTATCTAGATAGATTCTTGTTTAGCTTCCGGTTCCAAAATGAGAAGCCATGGATGAGTCAACTAGCTGCTGTAGCTTGTCTTTCTCTTGCAGCCAAAGTGGAGGAAACCCAAGTTCCTCTCCTATTGGACCTACAAGTATGTTCCTTTGTTACTAAGCTTATTGTAGTTTTATTCATTTTTCATTTGATTCGGCTTATTAATGTGGTGTTTTTGTTGATCTGTTCAGGTGGAGGAGAGCAGGTATGTGTTTGAAGCCAAAGCTATCCAAAGAATGGAGGTTTTGGTACTGTCCAGTCTTCAATGGAAGATGAACCCTGTAACCCCACTTTCATTTCTTGATTACATTGCAAGGAGGCTTGGACTAAAGGACCATCTTTGTTGGGAATTTCTTAGGAGATGTGGCCGCATTCTGCTCTCTGTCATTTCAGGTTAGCACCAAAACAAAAATCTTTCCTTTGTTTATCAAATCAATTGGACTTAAACTGGATAAACTCTGTAATATGTATAAATGAAATAAAGATCAATCCAATTTTTTGCTCTGTTTTTCTAGTTGTCATCTTTTTCTTAATCCCTGTTAAATTCATTGGCAGATTCTAGGTTTATGTGCTACCTTCCTTCTGTAATGGCCACTGCTACAATGCTGCACGTTGTGGATAGTGTAGAACCTAATCTTAGAGTAGAATACCAAAACCAGCTATTAGGCATCCTGGGAATTGATAAGGTATTGATTACCTATTACCTTTGAATGCTTTTAATAAGTTTGTCAATCTATCTAATTTCAATGCTGAATGTGCAAAATTTCATCCTGGTTCTTAATCTTGATTCATCTTTCTAGCAGGAGAAGGTAGATGACTGCTGTAAGTTGATAATGGAATTGGCAACAAGAGTCGAAGGCAACCAATCAAACAAGCGCAGGTTTAGCTCCATTCCAGGAAGCCCAAATGGCGTAATGGAAGTGTCGTTTAGTTCTGATAGCTCAAACGACTCCTGGGCAGTGGCATCATCTGTGTCTTCCTCACCTGAGCCTGTGTCCAAGAAGAGCAGAACTCAACAAGAGCAGCTTCTGCGCAGGCTAAGCCATGATCCTTCAAACTTTCTCAGCATTCCTCGCTAATTTCCCTCTTCAAGTCCTCTCTTCTTTTTTTACCTCTCCTGGACTATAAATAGTCTTATGTAATAATATTGCTGTGCTTTTTTATGATGCAAGTTAAATTGCTTACCATCTCTGCATTTTCCAATCCAGAAACCCCCAATTGAGTCAGATCTTCAGTTTCTGATTCTTAGTCGTCTCTTTAGGCTGATTGGTGCGGAGAATTGGAAGCAGAGATGGTTTGCATTTTATCCGGGTGAAAGTAGAAGAAAAAAAAAACAAATATGAACATAGTAATGCAGAGTCCTTGCATTTCAACGTTATTCTCTTTTGTTTTATGAACATAATGTTAATTTCACTAGTTCACAATAAATCAAAACAAAAAATGTCACATTTCTAATAAACTATGCCCTCATTGGTCTTATTTCTTACACATGATTGAATTTCATACGGAGGTGCTTATTTATGCGCATACATCTACTACATGTGTAAGTATATATATGGATTTAAATACACTGGAGAAATCAAATGCTTGAGTGGAGGGTGGAAACCAAAGAGCTGGAGGATTGAAAGTACGTCGGCAGAGCTTTTGTTTGCACATGTGAAGGGAGGAACATGCGGTCGGCCACTAGCAATTCGTGAGAGTAAATTTTGTGACTAAATTATTTTGGGGTTTGACCTCGTTGGAAGGCTCATTTTGGTTTGAAATTTAGCCCTGGTGACCACCTGAGTAGGGCTGGAGAGCCAACAGCTGTAACGGCGTCCATTCTGATATTCTGGAAAATAGTAAATACTAATACCCTAAACCATGATTGTTAATTTTCTTTTGCATTGAAAAAGCAGGAAAAATAAGCTGCTCCTTGTTCACCAGTGGAGTAGAAAGGTCGAAGGGCTTGCATAAAGTGATTCTGATCCAGCTTCAAATTGTTCAGCAAATGGAGATGGTAAGAGGAACTTTGCGACCTCACCTAAAGCGTAAGTTTGAATGCAGGGGTAGATG